ACCATAATGATTATCTCCACAGAATGTGGGTGTGTGGTCACTCTTAGCTTCATTTCTCCCCATAGACCTTACTGGCATGGGTGTCCCTACCAGGAGCTTGTGCTCCAGCCTGCATTGCCCTATGGATCTGTAAAATTACTGGGCTCTCCCACCATGACCAGGTGGTGACCACGGGAGAGTTATTATTATTATTATTATTATTATTATAAAAATAAAAATCAAAAGTCATATCAAACTGAAAAACAATTTTCAATAATATGTAACATAAGGTAACTTTATTACAAAATTGTTATATTCAATTAAAGAACTATTTCAAACAAGATTTTCTTTTTGCAAAGCAGCTCATATACTTATCGTTCTCTCTGTTTTTTCAGAGATATGAATTTGAAGGAAAGTTTTACTTCTTAGTAAAATATTTCATAGCTATGCAATTTTGAAAATTATAGTCTGCAGCCACTCTTCACTGAATGACAAGTTTCATTCCTATGATTAGGTCATTAAGCAAATTTGTCAATAAACAACAGCTTAATCATTTTTATTTATTTTGGATAAAGAAAAGATCTGAAGGAAATTCCTATTAGATAATTTTGTTTTAATTTGCATCTCATACATTTAGAGAAAATAAAAATATTATCTGCAAAAATTATAAAAATGATGTACCAAAAAAAGTAAAGTTTATTCAAAAAGTAAGACATTCAGATATTTTAGTCATCAAATTTAAACAATAAAGTGCAAATTTATAAAAGAAATATGTAATCTTATTGATGGTGAAAGTTTTGTTTGATGAATACAGTAGGAACAAAACTGACTAAGAAAGAAGATTAATCACACTGGAGAGTTAGTCATAAGCATGAGTGGTCATTAATTAAACAGACAGGTTGTTAAGTGAAGAGTGGCTCTATAAGGAAAAGAATGTGTGTAAGACATTGAGAGTCTTCTCACCATTCAATAGTAGGACCACTTTTGTAAAAAGCATCAATTTGGAACAATATTTTTTCCCCTAAGTATTAAATTTTAGGCTAATAAAAAGAATACTGATTTTTATCCCCACTAAAATCAACTTTTCTCTTAACTTACTAATTATTGTAAAATAAAACTAAAAGTAAATTATCACTTTTATGATGTAAGGTATAATAAATTATTTATTGTAACATCACCACAATGCTGTGAGACCCGAAAGGCCCCTGGGTCTAAATTAATATTTTATTATTAACGTTAAAATAATGTCATCAAATATTACTTTCATTTTTGGTGAGAAAAATACTGTTTTAACGTGGGAAAAACCCAGATAACAGATGTTACTTCCTTTCACAGAAGAGAACATCCTCTGACTTTCCCTTATCTGGTTAAAATCCAGCTCAGATGGGAAATGGTTACCCCTCATTCATCCTCCCTTTCATCCGTTCTCACGAAAGAGTTACGGGCCGATGATTGGTCGATATTCCGAAGATATACAGGGAACTCAGCAGAATTCGGGGAGTTCAACGACAGATCCGAAAGTATACAAACTCCACATATGTTTCCCTCCTGATGACCAATGTCCTCAGACGAGTCACATACGGAATAAGTCTGCACGTAGGAAATATACATTTATATGGGTGCATGTATTGATCTCCCATACGAAGAAGTAACTGAACTTGCATACAGAGAAGAAGACGAACGACAACTGAAACAGGTCGTTTGTTTTATAACGATTTTTGTGAGCTCTCTCTCGATCGCGACTAGGGTAGAATATAAGTATAGCTATCTACCGATGTGTATATTGGTTGTAGTGGTTCTGTCTTTTGTTTATCCACCTTTTGTATGATTTAATTTTTGTTCTATTAAATTTATTATTTCGTTTTAGTTAAAAATGTCTTTTAATTGCGTGACCGAATCAGATCACATACGCGTGTTAATCCGCGTATAATAAGATTGATTAACTGGTGTCAAGGAATCCTGACGAGCATCTGAACTTCGCAGTTCGGATCAACTTTGATAACGCTCTCCTATTAAAGTTAGAGAACTGGTCTTACCGACTAGTGCCCGTAAGTGGCGTAGATTGAGACCTACATCCTTGGCTACTCTCACACATAATCACTTTATTCTAACTATTCATCTTGTTCATAACTGTAGCTATCTGCATTCATTAGTTAAGTGGATGTATAAGGACTTTACTACACACCCTGTATATAACACAACTGTAACATAATGTGCTAAGTTTCTTTTTGAACTTTAAGAAATCAACAGTTTGATCAATGGGCACTAATAAAGACAATAGGAACTAAACCTTATGAAACCTTTGCATATACAGTCTGTTATCAAGTAGAACATTGTTAAGTGGCACTAACCTGTACTTATTTATTAAGAAAATTAAATTTAATTGTTTTGTAACAAGTATATTGTTTTTCCTATTTGTGTAGATATACCACGTAACTGTTATGCCTTGTTATGATAAGAAACTAGAAGCTTCTAGGTCTGATTTTTATCAGGATCTGTATCGGACACGAGACGTTGACTGTGTTGTCACCACAAGTAAGAAAAAATTTATTATGAATATGCTATTGAATAGTTCAAAAACAATTGTAAAAGATAAGCAAAAATTATAATTGCACTTAATTAAGCTTGTTGATAAAACATAATTAATATATACACTATTCAGAAATAAGGAATATCATTCATAAATTCAGCTTAATAAAAGAAAAACAATTCTTTTGAATAATAAATTGTTGAGAGTTAACAGGATACTGAACCGTATTTTTGTTTGATTTTTTTAACTCTTTCCACTCTGTTCATCAATTACTTAATTGTCTCTTTATAATATGTGGACTTACTAAGAAGTGTGAGGTCTTCCATGGATGAGAATGTCCAGACACTCTTGACACCCGTTCGCTAATAATTTTATAAAAGAATATTTTTTTTTTTATTGAATTGTTCACATCATGTGATAACAAGAATGTGTTTATTCCTGTCAATTTATGAATAACATTCAATTCTAATGAATAACTGTCATGACACCATCAGCATTGAGGGTTCTAAGAACTGCAAACATCTCCAATTAAGATCAAATAAATTGTCAATGTCAACCTTTTCCCACAGCCCAAGAAGGGCTAGGTTTCACCTAGAAATAGGTAAGGGGATCAATCAAGTCAAGAGGACAAAGATTTGAAACCAATTGGAATGTAAGATTGAGTGACCCAGTATATTAAAACATGTGTCTTGAGGCTTCATTTTGCTTAGTTTCTATCTGTCTCCATTTGTCATCAATTCTTTAATTAGCCAAACTCTATCAGAGACTAGTATTTGTACTATACCTCTCTATTGTACAAGGACCATTTTTTCACTCGATAAATGACCTTTTAAAACATTAACAAGTTGTCCTTCATCTCAAATGCACTCACCTAAATACCTGTCCTTTATCTACTTTTGCCATATAAACTCATAGAAGACTCCAAATTGTTTTTATATTTGTTTTCATATTACTTATATTTTTATATTCTTTATATAATGAAATATATCCAAATTAATTATTTAAAACGAAAGATTATTTATCAAATTCTTACATAATTGTATTGTAGAGAAATACACAAAAAATCAATTTTTCTTTCTGTCCTAACACACAGGGGGCAAATAACTTTAAAACTCTAAAACATTATGTAAATAATAAAGTAAAAGTTAAAAATAAAAAAGTTAAAGGCAAACCCAAGTGCAGAGAAAACATTCTATTACATCAATAAATTCCCTAAATGCATTTCGCTAAACAGGCTTCTTCAGTAGTGCTACCAACATACAGTCAAAACTCCAACAATGATTTTTTGTGTATTTCTCTGCAATACAATTATGTAAGAATGAAATATATTTAAAAAATTTTCTAAGTGATGTGTTTATTTTATTTTCAGTTGAAGTTGATTTGATGTTGGAGAAAGAAGGAATCAGTTTTGTGGATCTTCCAAATGAGAAACTTGATTCAGAGTATGAATTATTTCATAATGTTTTATGAATTTATAAATATATATATATATATTAATTTCTGGAAAAGTTTGGAAACTTACTTAAAGACTAAATGGACTTTAATTATTATATTCTGATGGCCAGGGGGCTAAGGTTGCAGCCTACCACTCTGGGAGACCTGGGATTGAATCTAGATGGGTTGAAAAATCCCTGGGCTTTTTTGGGGATGATCCATCTGGATGTGTTGAGCTTCGTCTCTCACCACCCAGCTGCCCAATTGTGGGCCTGGCCTAACTTTTCTTGTAAAATGTATTATTTAAAATAAATTGATGTGATTATCACTTTACAACATCTGGAACATGATATTTAATACCATACCTTTCTCATACTCCCAGCAATAAATATTTTTATTATCCTGAACATTTTCGTCTCTTTCTTAAATCAATATTGTTGAGCATGTTGCTTGATAAAATGCTTTAATTAATATAACTGGGTAAGCAAGCCAATGACAGGGCCTGTTTCATTTGAAATCATCTATTTCATTGGCTTGCTTAACTAGCTGCTTTAATATGCAGTGTGTCCATTATGACAATGGTTTTGCATAATTTATTTAACGTGTTAACCTCTATCCGATGCACCGACGATCTTCGTACTAATTAGGGCCATACAGAGCCATCCGACTATCCAGTGTCGCTATAACCAATGTAGTTTCACTCAAGGTTAAATTATTCTGGCTTTGTAAGACGTTTTACATCCTAGTGGTGGCCTCTCGTGCATATCTATAAAGTTGGCTCTAGACAGCCCTAATTAGTACAACCTCCAGTGCGTCAGATAGTGGTTAACGTGTTAAGGCACAAATATCTTGATTAATTTGATCTTGGTACATGAATGTACAAAATTTTACAAAGCATTTCAATTTGGTTATTTACGAATCATGATGTACTTCTGTAATTTAGATTCCTTAATTATGGAAGTGAAGAATTAATTGGCCACTCTGGTTCGGCTTCTGGAGGCTACTGCGAATACGTTTTTTCGTATGCCGCATTTCATCTGTTCGGAAAGAAGGTGGAAAATTTACAGTTTAAAACTTTAAGGTATGATTATTTTTATTTTGTTGGAGGGAATAAAATAATCACTAGTTATCTATCAACATTATTAAAATCCTGCATATATACCAAGGTGTCGTATGACAATTGATATCCTTATTCTGAAAATAATGCCTGTAACAAAAGTTTTATTAAGATTCTGCACATATACCTTGTGACAGGATCCATACATTATGTATCAGAAATTAATTATAATAATTATATAATATGGGAGATGCTGTAAGGGTATAGATAACCCACATTGGCTTGCAAGCCACAGTTTGGACACCGATAATATATATTGTAATTCCTTGATTTTAAGACACCATGAGTTTGAAATCAAATTTTAAGATTTTTTATGGAGAAAAATTTAAAAAAAATCAATTTTATATTAAATTTTGTTAAATAATAATGAGGTAGAAAGTCGATACAATATTTCCATGTTCTTCTGCATATACAAGAACTGTTTATCAATACTTTAATGCCTTAATTCCTTGAAAGCTTGAGCCAACTGTTTGGCTTAAGCATTCAAGGAATTAAGGCATTAAAACTTTTAAGGAATGACCAAATAATCATAGAAGTAAAGGCATTACTACTTGCTCCAAGAGTCTGGATTCAAGCTCAGGTCAGATTCTCAGTAAGATTTTGAGTGCTTTGACACTTTGATCCAGATTTTTGTGCCATCCTGATTCAGTGGCATAGCATGGGTGTCAGCGGCCCGGGGCAAAGGAAAATTTCGCCGTCCTCTTATTTAGGTATCTCAATTTAAAAGACTAAAATTCAGTTTCTCCACAGAATAAGTAATGAAAAATTCTGTGCTAGTGTTGCCACCTTTTTAAAATTGCTGACCCGGACAGTCGACAGGTTGTGCAAGATATCCCGGACTGTCCGGATGGTAACAATATTCCGTGCTCATTTCAATCGGTCCGAATCGTAGCTGCGACGTGAATATGATATGAAATGGTTCAAATTTTTACAAGATATTATTATTATTTATTGTGAAATTTTGCTGTCCCTAAAAAGTAATTTTGCCGCCCCCTAAAAAGTGCCTCCCGGGGCGGGCCACCCCCACTATGCTATGCCACGCCACTGTCCTGACTTATTATGGGTCCAGTCAAATCTGTGATGTGCAAAGAAAGGTTTTTTAATATTGGTAGTAAATAAAGATTATCTTGTAATATCTTTATTTAGTTTTATAAGATATTTAAAACCTTAAATCTTATGAAAATGCATGTTAATTAATACAAACCATGTATTTTAGATATTGACAAATACTTTGTATGAATAAAATTTAATTTAATTTGTCTTATCAAGTTTTCTCAAAATATCATTTAACAGGAATAGAGATTTCCGAGAGATTACACTGGAAACGGAAGAAGGAATCGTCTTAAAATTTGCCATAGCAAATGGCTTTAGGAACATACAAAATATCATTCAGAAGATAAAACGGAAAAAGTGTCCTTATCACTTTGTGGAAATAATGGCTTGTCCTTCGGGTAATTATATATTAAATATTTATTGTTTTAGATAATGCTAGGGATGATCAGAACTTCTGTGATTAAATATTTTCATTTATAAATTGCATGAGATAGAAGATACAAACATACTTATGTATCAAATATCATATTCAGTTTAGTTAAATTGTTATTTTATGATGAATTTTTCACTTTAGTTAGCAACATGCTTTCATTTTCTCTATTTTCTCAACAATAGTAAATTATTTATAATATAAGGACATCTTTAGATGGTGAAAGTGGTGAAAACTACTGAACAAATTAGGAAATGATGTAGAACTGTGAATAAATGAAAAATTTTTTCTAATGGTAGCCCCTTCAGCTTTGTAATTTCTTCCTTGCAGCACCCCTGCTTCCTTACCGATGTACAGTTATTGTGTTTTTTGTACTTTTAACAATATGTGTAAGAAGTGTATGATGCGGTTCATTGTATATTATTTCATTTAAAGTACACCATTACAGATTTTATAATGCAATAATAATTTCAGGTTGCATCAACGGCGGTGCTCAGATTCGTCCTGAAGACGGCAAGATGCAAAATGAATTGCTGGACAGAGTCAAAGAGCTCTATCGATCAGTGAAGATGGAGCAACCGGAAGAGAACGAACTCGTTGAAACTCTGTATTCCGACTGGCTGGGAGGAACCGATACTTTAAAATGTCAACAGATGTTGCATACAAAATATCATGCCGTAGAAAAAATGAAAAATGCATTAGCTATTAAGTGGTAAATTATCATATTTGTATATTTTGTACAGAATAAAATTGTATATTAATATAAAATTATCGTGTCAGTTTCTTGTTTTTAATATAAATTAAACTGAATATGTGCTTACATGCACAGTGAATGTAAAACAGGGAAGAAAAAGCCCAGGCCATTTACCTTTCTGAGGACCCAATGTATGTATTAAGAAACAATGTTTTTAATACATTGGGTTCTCAATTTAATACAATACAATTTTTTATAATGGCAATTTTTTCATTACCATTTTAGCCAGGTTTGGCACACTGAGTGACCTGGGTTTGAATCCAGACAGGTCGATAAATCCCCAGGAATTTTTCGGATATGTTGGATCCCATCCCTCACCACCCAGCCACCCCATTGTGGGCCTGGTGAAATCCATAATGGGCTTGCCAAAAAAGAGACCCTCTTAGTGCCCACAGGGCGGAGAGTTTAAAAAAAAAAAAAAAAAGCCAGTAGTGATGAATGAGACCCAGTATATCAATGACAAATTCTATACAAAAAAATCCTGGAGTCCACCACTGGCTGATGAAATAAAACCACCAAACACTGAGTTTGTGCCTTGCCAACAGGCTGCCCAAATGAAGCATTACCACTTAATAGCTAATAGCTTTATATGTAACTCCTGAATGGGTTAGTTTCTGTACAAAGTCTCAGAGAAACTCCATGGCAGATTGCCCTTGTGTTGCATTGTTTTCTGCTATCAATCCTAGATGGCTGGATGGTTAAGTGATTAAGGTAGCAGCCTAGCATTCTGGGAATCCAAGATTGAATCCACACGGGTGGATAAATCCGAGAAATAGGATGGCCGGTTGGTTCATCCATCATCGCTCGGCTGCTATATTGTGGGCCTGGCCAAACACATAATGGGCTTACTAGAAATGGCCTTCAAACTGGAGATAGTTAAAAATATATATATCAATACAATTAGTTCCCACGGAACAAAAAAGCTCAAATGAAGTGTAAATGAGTTCCAAAATTCAAAAATTTATTTAATTTTCGGTTATTTTATTTTTCAAAAATACATATATTTACAATTCAATGATCTTCAACGTTCGTATTTCATTGAAGAATGTAATTAAGTTACTAAATTTGTACATAAATCTTTCTTGTAGTTCTTTAAAAATCTGTGTTTCATGGCTTCGCTAGTCAAAATTCTGCTATTTGGATCTTCACGAAGGAGCAGTTGGATGCAATTTTGGCAAAGTGCAATAAGATCATCATCAAATTGCGTAGAGGGGAATGCTGTTTGTATCATTTTCGAAAAATAAGACAGGTCATTACGTATGTGAATAAGCAACGCTTGAACTTCTATCATCCAACCGCGCCATCTTACTGAATTTTTCGCGTCGTTCCATCTTCTATTTGGGTTTTTATATAACGCTTGCTTAGTAAATGCTTCTAGGCATAATATGCCAAAGGCCCACAGATCTAATTTTTCGGAATCGAATCTGTTTTGGCCAATTTGTTTCTCTTGAAATATGTAGATTTCGGGTGGCCTGTAGACGTCGGGCATGCCCATTTCGCCCAATATGACCTCTTTTTGCCTGGTCAGAAAACTAAAATCGGATAACATGGCCGTAGCGCCATCCGAAAGCAGTTCGTTTCCTAATTTTAGATCCAAGTGGTATAAGTGCCTGCAATGTAAGTAATTCAGGCCGCATAGAAGCTCGTACATCCATTTCCTCAGAAACTCGAAAGATTGAGAGTGGTTGCAAAAACTTTCGGAATTCAGCTTGCTTAATATGGTGCAATTTTTAGAAGGCATAACGAAAACTTTGACCCCGCATTCGGATAAATTCAGGATGTTATAAAGAGGCACAATATTGGGGTGGAGTAAGTAGATCCAATCATGCAATTCGGATCTGCTACAGGTGGTTACTATCTTTACTGCAACTTTCTTTTTTCTGTTTCTGTCGTACATGGATAAAACTGTTCCATATGTTCCACAGCCGAGTTTCTGTATGTATTCAAATTCGTAGCTGTGTGTGAGAATATTTACAGATTCTCTTGTGCAATCGTTTAAAAATGATACCGCCATTTTCGTTTACAATGCTTATCTTTTAATTCATTGTTTCGTAACAAAGTCGAAGATAATACATTTTTTTCAAGCAGGATTATTGCATTTAATTAAGTTTACTAACAGATAGAGTATGACGGCCGAATAGCCGAGTGATTAAGGTGTAATCCTACCATTCTGGGAGATCCGAGAACGAATTCGGAGTGGTTTTTTTGGTCCTCAATGGGGAAGCGTGGAAAGGGACAGGCCTGACATATCCGAGAGGGACAAATGCTCAAAAGATTCCTGGCGTTTTTTGATCCTTTCGGGTTCCCAGATCGGTAAGCTGACACTTAACCGCTCGGCCATTTTTCTGATTATTTCATCTGACCTTTCATAACTTAAAATTGATAGCATAATTTCATCAAAAAAGATTCAAAAGTTCTGTTTTTCAACGTTACAACGTTTAAACATTTCGTATAAAATAAATTCACATAAATTATTGATTGGCATTTTTGTCGGATGGCAGCTTTCCATCCGTTCAATAAGCCTCAACAACTTCATCTTTCATCATCATCGTCTTCATGGGAAGAAGGGGGCAAACTTACAGGAGGTAACAAGGACTTAAGCCCTTTTAGTTGACACAAAAAATAATTAAAATTTATTTGTTCGAACTTTAAAATATTGTTTTTGAAAACATTTATGATCGAAAATACTCGTATGATATATCCTATCATCCTCAATATAATCGTTTTGCACATGCTGTCCATAAAAGATATTTATAATCATCCAAAATATTTTAATTTTGAATTAGTATAAGCACTGAACACTGGTCGTGTTTTCCGAATTTTCATAACGTCAGTAACACCTAAATAAAAGCACGTTTCCCATAAATTTTTCCATAAAAAACCTACCGGAAGGCATTCTACCATCGGTGTGTCGCGTTGCAGTATGAAACCAAACTAAACCTCTGTAGGACACCGAACCTAATCCGTACGGGTCGAAAGAAACCAGAGGAATTTTTTATTTGCACCCGTCCCTCACCACCCTTACCGCTTCATTGCGAGCTTGACCGAGCCCATAATGGGCTTGATAAAAAGCTCCGTGGGCACTAACAGGGCTTTTTATTTTTATTTTTACGCCTTGATGGGTTACTAGGCTTATTGTGAATGTAGATTTTTCAATCGTGGTAACACAAATTATTATAGTGGTGAATAGTTGTAATCTAGTGGCATGGCACGGAATTATGGTTAGTAGTGATTGGTTTTCTTTTCTGTGTTTATTATTTACGATTGCATAAGTTCAAATCAAGAGATTGCGAGGTAGAATTATTATAAAAATTGATGGATTCAAAGCCTTAGCCAAGTATGCTTTATTGTGGATCCAGCGGAATCCACGATGGACACACCCATCAATGGCGAGTGGATGTAACTGTTGAACACTGGTAGTTGGTCGTGGATTCGCGTTTCTCGGAGTTTTCCCGGGTTTCTTTACGTTTGTAACACCTATATAGAGGCCTGATTCTCATAGAATGTCTTCCCGTAAAGCATCTCCCTTCGTTTACGTGTCGCGTTACCGTAACTAAATAAACCAAACCATGGTGGATACGATTAAAAATAAGGTCCTATAGGGAAAAAATAGGTAGACTGTGTCCAGACGTAACCATGGATTGATATATCTTCAATAATTGCATGAAATATCATTGATAGTTTTCAAGCCACCACACAGCATTGCGCAGGACTTCAGACTACCCGAATCTAAAATATGAATAGAAAAAAAGGACTACTTAATGCCCACAAGATGGTTAATATGGCAACCATCGCTCTGGGTGACCAGGACCCAATTCGGACAATCGAAAAACCGCAGGAATTCTTCGGGGATGGTCCGTCCGTGCCGATAAATGGGACTCCGTCCCTCATCATTCGTCCGCTCTATCACGGGCTTGGCCATAATTGGACCGTAACGGACATAAATGGTGTGGCCTAACCCACAATGGGCACGATAAACAAAGCTCTCGGGCGGTGCAAGTTAAAAAAAAAAGTATATTATAGTTTTTAGTAAGAATTTATTTCAAATAATTTTTAAAAATAAACAATTCGTATTAAATTCTTAAATTTAAAACTTAATAAAACTTTTATTATTTTTATTTAAAAAAAATTATATATATATTTTTTTCTGGAGTGCTGACAAATCCAACAGCGCCACCAAACGTCCGAATTAAGAAAGACAAGCCACGCGGATGTGTTGCGGCGTGGGTCAAGCAGATACGAGTCTAGATTTGTTTATATAGAAGTTTTGTATATTCGTATATTAATAAAAAAAGAGGAAATGGGAGATAGTACAGAAGAACAGACGGCACCCGAATCGTGGGAACAGTACACAGACGATAGTAGAAAAGCGGATGAAAACTTATCGAAAAGTATCTCGACCTTAAACGTGGATGCACCTCCATTTGTGCCTTCGTTTGCCACCTTATCAGCTGTCCAAGAACAACTAACTTTGCATCAAACTAACGAAAACGATAGTAAGTACGCGTGTAATAACTTATATTATTTCTTCCACCATCCAATTCTATCGCTAACCTAACCACCAATGGTTAACCTATGGCGATTAGGCTTAGCCCTGGGTCACGTCGTGCAATAAGGTTGCGAAAATGTTACCAATTCGCGGGTAAAATCCGATAACGGAGCGTAATTTAACACGTTGCAACTTTCTACTCGCTAGAAATTACCAATGATGAGAAATTCGCGCGAGATTTTTCTTGCGGTGTGGTGTTACGTTCACAAAAGATGACAATGAAACGTATTGTAAAGTTGATTAGTCATGTATAGTTAAACAAAATCGCTCGAAATTTCCAACTTTGTCTAGCGAGAGGTGACGTTGTCTCGCGAGAAAAAATGTAGGCCTAAATTTGGAAACATATTTTTTTAATTTTTTATTTTATTTATTTTTTCTTGCTGCCGTGTTACAAATCTGCCAATTGTAAAATTCTTCTTGCTAATGTTGCTGGATTATATATTTATAAAATTGACAGATGTAAATTTATCGGTGAACGTTTGTGTGGGACGACTCCATATGGAATATTGTAATTGCGGTCGTGTGAGAGAGTTTAAGCATTTAAAAAAATGAAGTTTTTTTTCATCATTTGGGCAAAATCTAACTTCGTCTCCATTTTCAAGTGTCTACAAAGTTCCAGATGGGCCGATTTTGGAGACTTGTAGATTCCTCAGTTTCTCGATTTTCTTACACACCTGAACACGTACTATACGGCTCCGATGAGGTCTGGCTGCCTCATTTGGAGCTGCATTTTTACCTATTATTGACTTCTATGTGACAACCTTGTGTTAAGAGGTGTTTATGTATTCTAAATTGTGTATGAAACTGTTTATATAATTGTTTCGTATTGATAGATTTACATGTTGGAACATGTTTTAAGTGTTATTGAAAACAAAAGAGAGAACGATTAATATATCTTTTTATTACAGGTGATTTATGAATTAGAAATTATAAACTCAGAAAGTACAAAAAAATACGGTCAAACTGTATCTTTTAATTACATTTGTTTGTGAATTTTATATATTAAATTTGGGTTCGAATTCTGCAATGTATAGTATTTCAAATGATATATAATCAATATATAATGGTATATTGATTTTAAAAAGTATCAGTTTACTGAATGATCTATTGAGAATTTTTTCTGATTGTTTTTGAGATAATGTCTCAAATGCTTGCTTAAATGGATTCGTATGTTGAAATTTTATGAAAAACTATTTGTGAAGAACTGCTTAAGTTAGTAATTCGTGTGAGTTTGGCTAGTTTTAGGCTGATGTCTTATGTACCTTTCTTGAATGTTATCTAGGCTTTAACAATTTATCATGAGTAGTTTAAGTTACACTTCATATCCTGTATTTCACTCGTGTTAGCTAATTCTATTGTGGGTCTGACCTTGGAATGGACAAACATCTGGCCTAGCAACATGCCCTCATATAATACATTGGGTACCATGCACCAAGTAATAATTTACTGAATTAAAAGTATAATTATAATATACAGAATTAAAAGCATTTGTGAATAGAGGCTGGTCAATGAATCAGTAGGTATAAATTACTCAATGTACATTTTAATAATAATTTATTCATACTTATACATTATAATGACATTTTAATACATCCTATACATTGTAAGCTTGAAACTATATTAAGTATATATTTCAAATATATTTGATTTAATGAACTTCTATCAATAGCTGCCACCCATTCCATGATTATTCCATTAAATCAAGGGGCCTACTTTGTCTTTAGGTAAGAAAAGAATAAGGAAAACATATAACAATAAAATGAAAAATAATTTATAAAAAATATAAATTAAAGATAGCTTGAATTATTTTTATTCAAATTTAACTTCTTTATACACATTATTCTTTACTTCATTCTCTAATTATAAAACTGGAGAATGAGATAAAGAAAATTGAAGACAAAGTTTCATTAATAATTATGATTGTGCATAAACCATTACACGAGAAAACTGGCTTTTATTTTGCTGTAATGTTTTTAGGAAGCCTTATCTTTCCTTCTTCACTGGCATATACAAAATACTTTCAATGTCAAATAGGTTAAAACTTTCTTGATATTGAAGGTATTTTGAGAAGATAACCAAGGGTGAAAGATAAGAAAAACTTCCTCAAAAATGTTCTGCAATAAGAGTTTGTTCCTTAAGTGATTTATTTTGATGTGATAATATGATATGGAGTCATCACTGTTTAGAAAATTCTACAACTTTTTAAACACGCACGAAAAAATTATATGGAATTAAACATAGATGTAGAGTATATTAAATTGTTGGATTATCTTCGTGCTACATAATGGCTAATTTAATTAATTAAATAATTAAAATTTGTCCATATTATGCAAATATGCCATCTGGCATGAAGATTAATACTAAAAATTAATTGAGTTTTAAGTAATTTTAGAAAATTCTGTAAGAAGAGTGTGATCAAGAACAGGATTGGGACACGAACATGCAACTTCTGCATTTCGGACAGGCCTGTTACCAGTTGCACTACAAAAATCTTTATCTGAACTTTTCTTCTATATCTATATTAATCTGTATTTACTATTAATACATAATTACACTGGTTAGCTATCATTAAAATATAGAACTGTGTCCAATCTTAGGAAATTTACAGTAAAATTTCACATTATTATATAAAAACAATAATCAAATTCTGAATTTATCAATTATAAATTGACAAAGGTAAGCTCAAAATTGGCCAAGTGCCATAAAAACCAATGGATGTAGACAAACTTGGTTGGCATAGCAATTAAACTGTATGGTTATATACTTAAAATTAATACATGTTCGGAAGAGAAGATTAGATGAATGTGTAGGTGTCTCTTCATCCTGGTAAGACATATGCATGATGATAAGTTACAAGTTCAATCTACTTTTGATCAATTGTACAAAATATAAATTGCTTAATTTAACTGAAAATTAACTTCTTGCCATTAATTTTAGTACACGATGAGATTCTAACCACTTCTCTTTATATCAGATTCTATTTTTCATAAATATTTTAAATATATGGGTTGTTTTTACTATTTAAAAGTATAATAAGTTAAAATTTGAGTATGCAAATTTGAAATTACCTTCAGAAAATATATAACAAGTTTTTCATAGCGTGATTTATTTTTTTTAACATTTACATTGATTAATTGGGAATTAACGATGCAACAAAAATAAAGAAAATTATACTCTCCTTTATGCATTTTTCATTAGTTTTCTTGTTCTTTCTTGGAATTTTTGCTTGCTGATAAGTAACATTTCTGTAACGTGAATTGTCAACTTATAATTTATTAATACTTTTGTTTTTATTGTTTTTGCTTTCTGGATGGTATGTAGTCTTGCAGGTGAGTGACTGCTGCAATGATTGATAGACAGGTTGGTGTCTGACTTTACCGGATCAGTGTAGGCATTGAGATTTTATTTTTAGATTGTTTTTTCTGAAGATGAAAAATTCAAAGACACACACAATTGTGAGTTTTTTATATTAATTGTTTGCTCTAATAAAATATGTATATGAACCAAATATAGAACAATATTTTGTATGGTTACCTGAAGATGGCCATTAGAGATGATCAAAAGCATTAGTACTAAACATCTGTGATATATGATTGATTATTCTTACTTTATTTCTATATTTGAAGAGATACAATGTAATTTTTAGTTTTATACTTAACATATGTTTTTGTCAGCAATTCTGAAATGAATTACATCCAGCATTTCAGTTCTGTATTCTGTCCTATAGCCCTCTTTTGTATCGATCCCATGAGGGTTGGAAAGGCTGCAATTGATTGTCTATTTGAATTTAATTTCGAGAACTCTCTTATGGTCCAAAGAAGCTAGGGCATTAGCATAGTTCTTTTTATGAGTAAAGCAGAATAAAGGCTAAATTAAAAAGGCTACATACGAATTTGAAGTGCCTATATAATTACATAAATCCAATTCAAACTGCTTTACTTAAAGTGAAAATATTTAGAAAACTCAAATGCTATTGGGCTGTACAATGATCATCTAGAGCAGAAATGCACATCTTTTTGAGTCAATATGCCACATAATAAGTATCTTTATCTTTCAAATATTAATAATTTGTGTATGTTGAAGTTTTAGACTTTATTTTTGAAGAAATTAAGTGAATAGACTTTAATTAGTATAAAGTGATCAATCAACCAGTAGTGACTTGTTCTGTTATTCAAAACTTGGGATGGAATTATATTATAATCATAGACCATCAGCAATACCAAGACATTTCATACATTTTGGTATTGTTGATGGTCTGTAGTTCCTGCAATTGTAATATTCCTACTCTTACCAATGTCTGTGAGGCCCACCAGTGGCCAAGCGGTTTTGTTCCCTGACACTGGGAGTTTGGTTGTGGGTTCATACCTTGTCCGGACAGGCTGGCCACATGGAGTTTTCCAGGTTTTCTCCATATCTGTAATGCCTAAATAGGGGCCACTTACCCTTAAAAAGATCTCCTGGAAGTCATCTTCCCTAGGCAGATCGCCTAAGTGTTGCATTGCCATAACTTAACAAAACAAACAAACCGATGTTTGTTTGTTTTGTTTTCCAAAAATACAAACCGATGTTTGTATTTTTGGAAAAACATTGTTATTACTATATACAAGTTGACCCCCCCTATAACACTATTGATAATTCCGTTTTATATGAATTCCGTGCTGTACGAGTCACTTAGATTTTACAAATACATGTGCTGGGCTGTGAACAGCTCACGTATTTATAAAATCTAAGTGACTGTCAATCTAAAATCTGTGAAAATCTAAGTGTACATGACAAAATGACACATTCATTATAAAACTGGAAAAGTGCCATCAAAAGTTGGGAGGATGAGCAATACTGTTGTAATTTTGACACCTGAAAGTTCTAAGTTAGAGGTAACAATAACTGCTACTGGCAATACTGTTGATGTGCAAGAACATAGACAACAGACCGATAAAATGGTGGTGC